TATCGTGTCCTCACGAATCTTTTAATGCAAGAATTTGAATCCGATTCAGTTTTTTGCATTCAGACGTTCGGCCCTGACCAATCATATCGTGTCCTAGTTAGAAAAATTGAACGTGTTCAATTTTTGTTGAAAAAAAATCGGTCCTGACCAATCATATCGGCCGCAGATTTTGACCAAAGTGAGTAATTTGACATTACCCAATTTGTAAAATGCTTTTGGCTACAGAATGGGCCAAACTGGGTAATTCGACATTACTCAATTAGTAAAAATTCGATATTATTAAGTTTGGTAATATTATTTTAAGTTGGTAAATATTAAAGTATGAGTGCGAATAAAAATATATAAACTCATGTATTTGTTTAGAAAATATTTATTGAAACATGGCTATGATAATTGATGTTTGGAGAAAAAATTTATTTCCAAAAAGACTACCTTACAAACGTAAAGAGCACACAAAGCATGAAATTCGAAAATATTTCATAGAAAGAATTTCACAACAATGTTCAGAAACTATAGATGAAACTATAGATGAACATGAAAAAATGAAGTTAGTTTGCATTCTTTGTAATCGTGAATATAAAAAAGATGTTTCTCTTTCGAGTTTAAAAAATCATTTTAAAACTAAACATCGAGAAGAGTTTTCTAAAGTTCCTGATTTTTATTCGCCATTTAAGGGGCTTATTAATCGAGGTTTAAATTCAAATCTTGAGGAAGATGGTATTGTGTATAACAGGAGCGAAAAAAGATGGATAGTTACGTATAATAATGGAAAGAAGGCATATTTTAAGACTAAAAAAGAAGCATTTTTTTCAAAATTCAAATGGTTAGAAAAGTATAATAAATAATATTAAGACTCTAGCGTAGACCACATGTATTAAATAAAAATAAAATTAAAACCTAATTTTATATCACTTATAATTTGATTACTAAAATTATAATGTATTGTTAACAAATATGATCTTTATTTTTAATAATTTTAATTATTGAGTATTTGTATTTACAATTTTCAATTATAGTAGTTGAATTTTTACTATTTTAAGTTATGAGTATTATATTACAACTTTATGTATACTAAATACGCAAAAAAGATTAGTAATAAAAACTATATAAAGGCTGTGATTTCTCTTGAGCGAAAAATAAATGGGGAAAGACCATAGATTCCGCCAAATCATGGCCACAGTATTCTACTGTATTCCATGTGTAAATAGATTTAAATGTAAGAAAAAGTTTACTAAGAAAGATAAAAGTATTCGCGAAGAGCAGTTTTCTAAAACTGGCGAGTCTCCTTTATGCGCAAAATGCCAAAATAATCACTGGCGTTGTAGGGATAATGATTGCGAAAATTGTTGTAAATTACATCAGTGTAATGACCTTGTTTGTTCTTCATGCCGCGAATATGGTATCGAATGTAAACGTGTTCTTCCACGAACTCAAGAAGAGTATGTTAGATTGCAAGCAAAGGGTGTCACATATTCAACTGGTCAACCGGAGTCAACTGATAAAGGGCGGTTTCATGAACAATGTTTTTTCCAATTTAGAGAACAACAAACGGTTAAATCAGCCAAGGATATTTTTGGTCATAATTCGATGAGTTTTCCAAAACAATTATTGGGCAATTCTGATCATAATCGTGCTTATAGTATGAAGCCATGGAATCGTTGTAAAGATCCTCTTCATGCTAAAGATTGTCGTTGTGATTTTATAGACCGAAACAAAATTTGTAACGTATGTACAGTTGAGTGTATTGAGAAACGTACTCGTGCGCGTTGGGTTATTGATGGGCAAGAAATTGGACCTTGGGAGTTCGGAACCTACCGCTTTTTATCTGCACCGGCTGAATTTTTGGATATTAAGAAAGAAGATGATCAACGAATTGAAAATATCATTCGAGAAAATCTTACAACAGAAGATATATTAGTGGATCCGGTAAAGTTGGCGCCGCGACATTTTTATCGATCATTTCAGGATTTGGATTATATTAATAATCGTCAAAAAGAAATTTTAGATAAATCTATAAAACGTTTCTGGCGGCCAGTAACTTTTTATTTTTATGGTGAGGGTGGCGCAGGTAAATCTAACCTCGTTCAAAAGTTATTTTCCAATGAGTTATACTCGAAACCTAAGAAACAAAAATCAGGGTCAAGTTGGTGGGATGGTTATGATAAACATGAAATTGTTCTTTTTGATGAGTGGTATTCAGTGCTTGATTGGAATGATGTTGTTAAATATTTGAACGATACTCCAGAGAATGTTGAGCAAAAAGGCAAGACATTTGTGCCTTTTCTTGCCAAGTAT